TTGCAAAAGAAATGAAGTCAACAGGAACGCCTTTATTTTATATAAGCATTATAATAATAACAACTTATTTAATATTCTCTGATATTTCTCATTTGATTTTAGCGCGAAAAATTATATATTCTCATTATTATAAATTCAGGATGTTTAGCCAATGATGGACTAATCATAAAATAAGCGTTTACTGTTGCAAACGGAAGTCAAACATTTTGTGACGCAACGAATTCTGTTACGACAACCATGACCTTTGCGTCTAACATTTATACTTATTAAGACATCGCTCAAAAAGCTCTTTGTGACAGTTCTCTCGAGAAACATAACTTTAGATTATTCACAAGTTGCAGACTTAAAATCCTATATCCCCTATGTTACAATAGACATTTAGGCTGTGTCCACTCAGACTAATTTAGCGATGAGTCCAATAACGTGTAGTCAAGTATAGTAATTACTTTAGCATATTGTAATATTGAATTGTATTGTTCCCCGAGACCTATTTACACTATAATACCATGGCTTCTCTTGCACTTCAACTTGTATTCTTATATTAAAGAAATTGTCATACCTACAACCACGATGTTACGTAAATAGATTACCAAATATTTAATATGACTTTTAAAATATTCGCTATACGTTTGTCTGCGACTCTCACGTGTTTGTAATCTACTTCATAAACAACTTTTTATTACTAGCTCTTATACTCATTAATGCTTTCTTACATATTTAATTAGTACCAGGTTATTTATAACTATTTGGAAGTGCCAAATATAAAATTATTTTATAAAAAATCTGAAATTATCACATGTTCAAAATACAAAGTAATTTAAAATTAAAAATTTTGTACAGCCGACTTAAATATAAATTATTAAGAATAACTCATAAACTATTGATCTGACCTTGATCAAATTCATATGGAACCACACGAGATGTACTAGCTTTCAAATAAAAAAAGAATCATCCAAATCAGTTCACCCAGTAAAAAGTTGTGAGGTACCACACATAAAAAAAACATACAGTCGAATTGAGTACCGTCTCCTTTTTGGAAGTCGGCAGAAAATGGTGGCAGATAGGAAATTATAGCGAAATGAATAACCGGATGAAAATGAAATTTAATACGTAATCAGGCTTCTGCTGTGTTCGAAATTTGAATGAAGCTGTCTTGAAGAGTTGCTAAATTTTATTTACGCATGGAAGACAGACTAATGCTTGCAGTAAGTTTCACAGCTAGGTTAAAATATAGACAGGATCGGATAACCGGATACCATTTTTACTGGCAATATGGCATTTTATCTTAGTTCTTAGGATGAAAGCATATTTGCACTTTGTGGACTGTATTTTCTTTTACTGTCTTTATTTGTATAAGAAGTGTTCTTCTAGTGAACAAGGAGTATAAATTATGTAATGTTATATTGCTTAAGATTTCGTTACATAAAACTTTAAGAAAAGTAAAAAAAAATACTTTTAATTAGTTTATTACTTAGAGATAGATATCACACAGACGGCGAAAGGTATAGGAAGCGATATCTTTGACAAAGTAATTAACAAAGATGATTGCAGATATACGAAATAGATAAGTGGTTTGAAGTAAAAAGGTACATTGCGCGACTACTTTTTCATAAATAAAAAAAAATAAGCCTTTGTAAACAAGTTCATTTAAAACTATCAGTACATTATTACGCACAATACAACCAATTGATTTGTAACAGAGGATAGATGTAGATGTCTATGGGTCACAGCAACCACTTGCCATCAGGTGGACTGTGTGCTCGTTTGTCACCCTCATCCTATAAAAAAATAAAAAACTTAAACACTTGAGGATTCCTTAAGTACTAAAGTAAAATGTAGTTAGTATTAAATTTTTACCAGTTATGAAAGCAAACATTTCAAACATTTCATTTGCAAACAGATTCTTGCAGATCGGAGCATCAAGGTCGTTGTAGACGGTGCATGTTCTGACTACAAGCCTATTAACGCTGGTGTTCCACAAGGCTGTGTGCTATCACCAACGCTGTTTCTTCTGCATATCAATGATATGTTGCTAACTGGTAACATTCATTGCTATGCGGATGACAGCACTGGTGATGCTCTATACACCGGCCGGGCCAATATTTCTCGGGAAAACGTCGCCGAGTACCGGAACAAACTTGTGTCTGAAGTCGAGTCTTTGCTGGACAAAGTCTCAGATTGGGGGCGACTAAATCTAGTCCAGTTTAATCCTCAGAAGACACAAGTTTGCGCGTTTACCGCTAAAAAGAACCCCTTTGTCGTATCTCCTCAGTTTCAAGGCACTCCCCTTCTTGCCTCAGCCAGTATCGGTATCCTCGGAGTCGACATATCGAGTGACGTGCAGTTTCGTGGTCACTTGGAAGAGAAGGCCAAATTGGCCTCTAAAAAGCTTGGCGTGCTCAGCAGAGCGGGACAGTATTTCATGCCGGCACACCGCCTGCAACTTTACAAGGCGCAGGTTCGGCCTCACATGGAATACTGTTCCCATCTCTGGGCAGGGGCTCCCCAGTGCCAGCTCCTTCCACTTGACCGCATCCAGCGCAGAGCGGCTCGAATCGTCGACGACCGAGCCCTTTCCGATCGGCTCGATTCATTGGCACTGCGAAGAGATGTTGCATCTCTTTGCATTTTCTTTCGCATCTACCATGGGGAGTGCTCTGAGGAATTGTTCGGATTAATCCCAGCCGCCAAATTTCACGAACGCACATCGCGGCAGAACTCCCGATACCATCCACACCATCTGGATGATTGGCGGTCCACCACTGTGCGATTTAGAAGATGTTTTCTTCCTCGCACAACTTCCTTGTGGAATAGTTTACCACCAGGGATTTTTCCGGACCGATACGACTTAGGGACCTTCAAGAAAAGAGCCTACTCCTTTTTAAAAGGCCGGCAACGCATCTGCAATTCCCCTGGTGTTGCGGTTGTTCATGGGCGGCGGTAGTCACTTACCATCAGGTGAGCCGCATGCTCGTTTGCCTCCTCTCCTATAAAAAAAAAAAAAAAAAAAAAACAACGAAATTATAGTTCACTTAATATTTATTAATCCCTGACGCAAAAAGAGGGGCATTATAAGTTTGACCGTTAAGTGTGTCTGTCTGTCTGTGACACCGTAGTGTCTGTGGGTGCGGTTTTTTTTTATTTGAAAGCAGGTTTTCTAGCGGTGGTTCTTAGACATGTTTTATCAAAATCGGTTCAGCCGTTTCAAGGTCATCAGCTATTTTGACAGCTGCGGTAGGGTTCTTTTCGGGGGTTTGTAAAATTTTCAATTTAAGTTATTTATTATTAGCTATTGCGCATTGATGCCTACAAAGAACTTGAAACAAATACACGCTGTGAGAGTGCTCAAAACTAGGTACTGGTATCGTGAATTAGCTTAATTCCGACCGAAATAATATGATAAGCAGGCGCGTACAAGTAGAACCTCGAAGTACATTTATACTTGTATATACCCGGAACGTAGAACTAATAAGTAACAAGATAAATAAATACAAACAGCAACGTGATACGACTCAGCGTACGATCTTCATGAGTCACGAACGTTTGTCTCAAAAATATTGTGGTAAAAAAATTAAATTGAAGTACTTATACTTACTGTATTATAGAAGTGCGAGTCGGATTCGCGCATGAAGAGTTCCGTACCATCGTAATATCATTTCTAGTAGTGGAGTCCCCTTAAATTTTTATTTTTATTATTTGTTGTTATAGCGGCAACAGAAATACTCATTATGTGAAAATTTCAACTGTCTACCTATTACGGATCATGAGATACAGCCCGCTGACAGACAGACGGACGGACGGATGGACAGACGGACTGCGGAAGCTTAGTAATAGGGTCCTGTTGGTTACCCTTGGGGTACCGAAACATATAAAGTTTATTTGATTTGTTCTACTAGGAGCGCCGCTAGACGAATATGACTTTTAGAGCTTCTCTGGTTTAACGCACTGACTATCTCTTTGGTATGGTAGTCGTAAACGCGATTGCTATTCGTGAGTTCCCGGACAAAAAATTAGTTATTGGGTTTTCTCCAACGACGTATTAAAGAAGTATTAAAAAAGATAGACAGGTTACACACTAACATTATTGTATTTTAAGGTCGCGCAGGCAGTGCTATATCTACGTACAGTTATTTATTATGACACGTTGCGCTAACAAGAAGAGACTAATGATAGGGCATACCTATCGTTAGAAAAAGATGAATATACATACTCATTGGCGCGAGCGCGTGACATACCGATATGGAAAATGAACACACTAGCTAGCGTCAAAGCTTACAGTAGCGGTTAGTGTTGAAATAATAAAACCAATTATAAACAAAACATCTATATTCAAAATATTGATAAGACGTTTTTCTTGTCTCTAACAGTTGCCGTATAATTTGTGCACCACCTTAAAGCACAGGAAGGCATTTTTGCCACGAATAACTATAAGATTTACGTGCTGTAGCGAAGTATAGCTACGATGCGAGAGTGTGCCCGACTGAATGCGAGTCGGGCAATTACCTGACTTTCGTATTGCCATTTTAGAGCGAGTATGACGTATCTGTACATTTAAAAACATCTTAGGTTTTCTCTGTCAAGAAATTCTTAGTAGCGGCACGAAAGTCTAGCGGTGATCGTTATTATGCATAAGTCGCGCTGACTGGCTTATCGCACATAAGTCGCGCTGATTGGCTCGTGCGTATCGTTCGCACGCGCTAATTGACTCTCCAGTCGCATTCGTGAAATTCAACTCGTGCGCGTACCCTCCACATTTTGTTCAGCGCTAGACTTACCTACGTGCCGAGGCTGGTAAGCACGTAAAGCCAATAGTCCCGCGCCTGATTACTCTTCGGTAGTGTCGGATTGTCGTCCCATCGAACTATGAAAGTGAGTGAATACAGAGTGCACCTAGCCTACGCTATCTAATCCTTTAAATACACTCGGGAACTTTAATTGTAGTTAAGTGTTATTTAATTAATTTAGTATGTGTTTAAATGAAATAACGGTTATAAACTTACCAGGCATAAGGAAGTAGACGAAAATAGCGAGGGCGACGCACACAGTGAATAGAGCTATGGGCCATCGTAGTATGCGCAGAACACGAACAACCTTGCTGGCGTTCACGCTGCCACCTGCCGGTACTCTGTACAAGCTATCCGGGTGTGAGCCCTGAAACAAAATAAGCTTATTAGGTTTTATCTCGTACTCTCTGAATTCACACTCAGATGTTAGATGGGTTGCGGAATTTGCTTCGTTATTTTTTGATTAAATGGGATTTCTTATCCAAGTTTATGTAAGGCATTCCAGTTAAGCAATGTATATTTCATTCGTCTTAAGGAACGTTGATGCCAATACTATGTAAATGTAATAATATTGCAACAATAACCTTAATCTGATATTATAACAAGAACAGGCAGAGACTACCCAACTCATGGATAACTTATAGGTAAGAGGTTTAATTTTTCTATGATAATAATAATGAGATAAGAATAAACAGACATACGAATTTAATTAGATAAAAGCTACAAATGTTCCTTTTAAAATATGAAGTAATATAACATATACAAATACCCTAAAATATTTTGGTAGATTTTCACATGCGCCAAGGCTTCTAATTTTAGGTTAGTCTCCCTAATTTTAATTTTCTTAATTTTTTTTCTACATCTTTGATTTTGATGTTTATTTAGTGGTTTTACTAACATATAACTATCACTAAGGTACACTTTTTACTAACCCAAAAGTCGAAGGTTAGTATTAATATAAATACATAAACTCTCACACCCGTTACTAATAGGGGTAGCAGAGACTGCATAAATTGTCAAAGATATTACTTTAAAAGTAGTAAGAATGACGTTAACCATTAACATTATATGTTATTTCATAATCAACCTACTTTTTACTACGATGCTTTCACACTAGTTTAATAACGTTGCTTCTAATTACTAGTATTAGTAATGGAGGTTCGGCATCATCTGGTTTTCCCGCCATCATGTACAAGTTGAGTAAATGTTTGCCTACATCCCCTACATCCCTCTCGGTTATTTACTTAACAAGAACCCAAAAACATTCAAAATGTTTTAAATACATATTTTTAAGCATTATTTTCACAAGACATAATGGTTTATCGAATTGACCATATTCTACACGATTACGTTGGAATCAAATGAAGTAAAGCAAAATATTGGAAAAATAATTACTATAATTAAATTAAATGTGATACTGTTTATGTGTAACTCAAAAGGGTTATGTCGCTTTCAATTAATTAGAGATGTCCACGTTGCGTATAATTTGCAATGTGTAATATTAATTACGCGAGGAGAAAACTTTGTATCCCTTTGTAAGCACATTGCGCGCACGAAAGAGTGTGGGATTAGGCATAATAAAGTTTATATCGCAAAGGAGTGCAAAAAGCTAAAAACTAATAATAATAATTTTTTTGCAAGAAATATGATGATATAATCATCATATTTCTTATCTATATATATATATATATATATATATATATATCTTATAACTAACGACCGGTCCCGGTTTTGCCTGGATAGGATCTATTAATGTATCGTTATATAGATTTAAAATAATCAAGGACCATTTATTTTATAATGTTTATGATTTTTTCAAAAAAAGTAAATGTAAGTCGAATGAAATATAGCCTCGATCACTCCTGACATTGCTCCCTATTTGTTTGTAAAGTTTCATCACAATCGGTTTAGCCATTGCAAATATAAGCCCGGATAGACAGACAGACAAAATTATTAAAAATGGTTATTTATCTTATAAAAGTATGCAAATAACCCCTGAGCTTAATAGCAGCTAGTTATTTTAATACTAGCTAGTCCCGCAGATGGTATTCCGCCCTTATTGGTTGGTGGCGCGACGAGTTTCATTTTCACACTCTCAATTTTGATGTAAATTATTATACGTACAACTAAATCCTCTTTAGTACTAATAGAACCATCAGCAGCCGTAATGACATTAAACTTTAAAAAAAGGAAAAATATAATTTTTTTTGACTCTGCCTTATAAAATATATAAAATTATATATTATTATTATTAATAATATATAAAAAGTTGCCTATATGTTATACACGGTCATTTACTGCCTACTTATAAAATTTCATGGAAATCCGTCCTGTAGTTTTTGTGTGAATGGTGAACACACAATTTTTCTACAGATCTATTATATGTATAGATTACAGACAGACACATCAATTTTATTTAACGTTACAGCTTTGATTGAGTTACCTACGTGTTTCAATAATATACACTAGTGGTCGCCAAGTGGTCAAAATTCGACAGTAATTCATTAGTTTTTTAAGAAACGAAAAAATGATGGTCCAGGCGAAGCCAGAGCTCGCTAGTAGTCGAAATATAATATAATTATTATGCCATTTAAAGGAAAGAAAGCTGCTGAGTGGATACAACATTCATAACTTTTGTTAAAATACAATAAAACTTGGCGTAATTTATGCAGATTCAACTGGCGGTATCGTGTTAACTTAATGGAATTCGTGTTGGGTTCAGATGAAAAAAATCTGAGTTGACCTTTGTGAAAGCTGTTATAAACATTCAAAATTTTATGTTTAAATTTGTGTTTATTTAAAACATTTACTGTCAATTAGTATGCATTAAAATAAAATTTTACTGTTACGTGTTTTTATGTTTGCTTGAAAGCTTACCACTAATAAACCTTACATACTAGTTTCTCGAGATTAAATAACTGAGTTTCAACGAAGTTTTATTAAATTTCACGTAGCTATTTTTACTATTGGTATATTAAAATATTTTCATAAATAGTTATGGCCCCCTTTATTACGCCACTGACGGTTAAATACTAAAATCAGAAATATTAAAATAAAAAATATGCCTATCGTTATTGCCATCTTAATCAAAATTTTATTAAGAATTGTACATTTTATATATCAGTGGTTATAACGTGCTGTAAAACCCATGAATAATATTTATTGTATTAGTACTTTTAAAGCAAAACTATTCGAATTATAAAAGACAATAAACATTTCTTTCCTCGGTAAATTGTTTTCTTTTGTCTATTTTATATTACCTTCATCGTTATCAACCCGTAGAATCCACTGTTGCAATCCCAGTATCTGTGCAACAACAACGCTGTGCTTCAGATATATGACCCGACGCTGTGTACCTTTGACACTGCTTTCCATTATCTGTCTGGACATTGACATCTGGCATACACTATCCTATATGTTATATTATACCGCCATCAACGTGAGATCATGAGGTCTTTCTGGCCTTTCTCATAGTTGCCTATTACGATACCCACGGGAGTAAATGAGATTATGGATGGATTCTTTCACAATCCCGTCCAACGTCATAAGTTAAGTTGCGTTAAGTGTACGATGAACAGTAAATACACACTTCAAACTCATAATGTATTTGTGGATTGACGTTAATTAATAGTTTCAGGTCAATAAAAGGTCAGATATGAATTAAGTAGTACTGCTTAGTACGTATGTACGTACGTACGTGCTCTTTCCTGAGTATGCTCTAGTCTAGTCTCCGTTTAGTATTTGAATTTTTTTGTGAAATATTTTCTCCAAAATGAATATACACTTACTATAATGGCGACATTAGTGCGTGATATTTTAAATCTAGGACGCTGTTCCAGCTAAATCCAATAACACATCATAGTCTATTTTAAGTATTATAGGAATTCTCTCCTTTTGAGTAAGTTATAAATATGACCTTCTTTAGTATTAACTACGCAAATGAAGTTTACACAAGTTACAAGTACAAGTATACTAGATAATATTAGACATAAAAACAATTTACTTTTATGTTTCACGTTATTATTCAGGTGGAAGACCACAAAACGATTGACAATCAGGTCATAAATTGTTCGAACGTGAAGTTTCTAACTTTAAGTCAGTGAAAGCCTTTACAATCGTATATCCACATTATAAAAACTCTGTTGAAAATCACTTGACATAATATGAATCTTACCTTTGCTACGAACGTCTTCACATCCCGAGGCCTAGAGAAGTATTTGTCTAATTTTGTCTCATACGTATTGGCTACTTCGTCATCAGTCGGGGTTTGGATAGCTCTAACCCGATAAGTGCCGTATTGCTCTCCGTGTTCGGATATAGTTGGTAGATTCCCATTAGGGGAACTGCAGCCGCTACTCGATCTTGAGTAAGCGTAATTGACAGAACCATCACTTGGGTTTTTAGGTTTTTTCGTAAACGCGTACCGTCTGGGTGGTTCTTGTGTTGGTTTTAAATCGTACGTTTCAAATTTTTCCGTTACGAAGTGTTCTTCCACATCGGTCGTTGGCACATAACGCAGAAGCCTGGGTTCCTTAATTCTCTTTTCGTACTTGACAGAATCCGTCTCGTTGTCCAGTTGCGCTAAGTTAAGGGAGTACTGCAGCTCGTTAGCAGTTCTGTTTGCCTTTCTCTTGGGTTTTCTTTCGGTGGTCCGCATATGGACGTGATCATCAATAATTTCGGACTCAGAGCACGGTCGGTCGCCATACAATACATAATTGCCGTTCACCATTGTGAAGAAATTAAAAAAAAAATCAGTTGCACTGAAATCTAGTAAACATTTTCCAGTGTAATTTATTTTGAACAATCATAACGCCACTTCTTTGTGAATATTGTTAATTATTTGAATGCTAATGTGAGTAAGATAAGGCTTTGAAATAATCACTTATATCCTGGAGTAGTACACAACGGTTATCGATCTATCATTACACTGCGAGTGAATGAAGACAAAAAATTGCGAATGCGGCTTGTTTGTTTGCTTTGTTTAAAAACTCACCTGTTATTCCGATCGATTGTGTGATGAAATTCTTATCTGTTTAAATGTTAAAACAATTATTAAACAGTAAACGGATGTGTACAGGGTAATAAATAAACACGATTCAACGTTTAGTATTTTGTTACTCGTACGTTATTGCATCGAGTCTAAGCTTATTACTGGCTTGGCCCTACAGTTGTCTCAAGTTGTCATTTAATGTGTTTAAATAACTTAGCTACAACCATTACATAGTATATAGTGTTCGCTATGCTTAGATTTTAGACTTAGATTTCCGGTGTTGCCATTAGTAAAACGTTAATGACAATTCTATGGTCTGAATTCGCACTTCTCATGGGTAAAAAATTCTAGAGACCTGCACGTCTAAATTTTATAATATATTTCAACAATATATAATGTAAAACTTCCAACCCCATAGTAGTAGGCCCAATCAAGTGGAATAATCTAAATCAATAGAAATTGTTTCAATTATTAAAAAATAAATGGCGTTAGTGTAAACACTAACGCCATTTATTTTTGTTTTGTCGTAATCCAATAAACAATATGTTGAACACACTTTGTTTCCTTGACATGTATTTCAGTTTTAAATTCAGTTTTTACCCATTTATAGTCTGAATAATCTGAAATTCTGGAGACGTATTAAGAACCGATGTTACTTTTTTTACAGCTCATGATCGAAACGTGTTGTTTAAGTTCTTTTAATTGTAATATTATTATACATTTAATATAATATAATATAGTAAAAAATAAAAATGTGTATAAATGAAAATGAGCAAGCTTTGTGATTCTACAAAACTGTACTACCTACTCATCGATATATATGTACTACTAGATTTCGCATTGACTATGTTCAACTGAACTGTACTGCAATCCATACAAACTAAATATTGCGTAAATTGGTGATCTGTGAATTCCATAAGATAATTATTATTACATTTTATTTAGAAATATGTGTATTTAGATTAAATTAAGATATTTTGTATTAAATTAAAGTCTTCGCGCATGCGCGGAAGTAGTAGTCGCGCATAGAGTAGGACACAATTTTTGTTTGGAATGGCTTCTCTAGTACGTAGTACATATAACTCAATGTACCTAATCAATTCTTTCATTACTCTACTAGGGTTCTCTCTAAAAGAGAGGTGTTGCTGTTGTTATCGGATCTATGCTTAATAGTGAATCGTTGAAAGGCTGGTACTATGTGAAAAATATATGCGATTAAAATTCACCAACGGGTTGACTTATGATCGTAAATTTAGGAATAGTTGAGAAAGTTACTATTTTATATATAGGTATAGATGGAAATAAAATACTCTACACATTATCATCTATATACTATATATAATACAAACATTGTTCTTTATTGAATTTGATGTAAACACAATTATTTTAGAAATGAGAACATTCGCAATGTTGTAATCTGTGGGCCGGTATTAAGGCAATAGATAACATTTGGAGCGTTATGCGGTCGTCATTGTTGTGGCGCTGTTCCCGCGCTTTTTGCCCTGTTTCGCGGGAAAGTTCCCAGTGTAGCGCGTGCGCGACAATGGCGACCGTACAAGACAGACAACGAGAGTGAATTGCTTTGCTTGCGATTGTGCAAGGTTCAGTGTTTTATGCAACTGATGTGCCATTAATGCGACGGATATAATTAGATAAAAATTAAGTATTTCTCTAAGTTCGACTAGCGACCACACTTAATAAGCGACACTTACAACAGGTATTATATAAAAACGCAAACTAAAACGAATAGTCTACGTATCAAAATAATACGTATAGATTTCAATAAAGACAGAATTAAACTGCGTTTGCCAACCCGTCTGCCAAGCGTGGCAACTATGGCAAATCCTTCTTATGAAGCATTCTATGGGATAGACCTATATTCAACAGTGGACTTTTATAGGTTGAATGGAAAAGTAAAAGTAACAACATGTAAATTCTCACTTTAAAACATAATATCTTATTTCAATGCTATAAGCATAATGGCGAACTTTTACAAACGCCATTACTCTTTGAGAAATGATATTCATTGATTTGAATTAAAATAAATATAGGTACGCATTTATTATCCATCTCATTCTTTTCATAATTTTTCAACTTGTCCTAGTCACACAGAAATTTGAATAGAGATGTCAAGAGCGTTCCCACACTAGGTCTTAAAAGAGTGGAGTGTGTAGCTGAATAGGCTTTTATTAAAATAGTAAGTTAAGTTTTATGATCCAAGACCAAGGTACAGTACCAGTACCTGTCCGTTAGTCTCGCTAAACCTCAAAAACGGCTCGACCGATTTTGATGAAATTTTTTGTGTGTCTGAATGGGTCCCTGGATGGTTTAGATTTACTTTTGGACCAAGTAGGTGGCGTTGTTGTCGAGACCCAGAAATCACCCGTGCGAAGCCGGGCCGGATTGCTAATAAAATATAAAATAGCAGTAGAACTTCATTTGTACTTGAGACTTGTAGACCGCAGTCACTATTGTAATTGAAAATTGCTAATTACAAGTATTAACATAAACTACACATACACTTAGGACAGTAAATGACATTGACAAACAAACATCCAAATCCGGTACAATTATTTTAGGGCCATACAAATGCTTGTTCCGAACCCGCGGTCACAGACAAACTCCTCACTGTGCTAACTAGCTGTCAATTTTAGATTTAATGCCATCCCTTAGTTAACCATAACGAAAGAGACTAGATAAATAAAGACTAGCGCAAACTCAAAAAGATCTAAGCTCCATGAATAAATATAAAGGTAACGCAATTAAAAGGTTAAGTATTTTTTACAGATACCTTATGAATGGAGAGCATCGCAAGAAGAAAGAACTAAGTAAACTAAGGTTGCCATACTCTATAATGTAGTATTGTATGATATTTTCATTACGTGTATTATTAATTATAAAGGAAATATATAATACGAAGATTATAATATAAATATTTCGAAGATATGAGAAGTTCCCCAACACGCATTGGGGCAGCCCGGCGGCATTTCCTTGCCTTCAAACCTTAAAAATGAGAGGACACCTGTGCCCAGCAGTGAGAAGTGCAGCAGGCTCCGTGGCGTAGTGGCTTAGCAATGAGTTGCAACGCTTGGGGCCGCGGGTTCGAATCCCGCACGGAACAAGTATTTGTATGGCCTACAAATAATTGTTCCGGGTCTGAATGTTTGTCCTTGTGCAATATATGTTTGTAAACTGCCTCCACGATACAGGAGAAAATCCTAGTGTGGGGGTAACGTTTTTTAAATAAAAAATAGACTGTACGTTTACTTTACTTTTAGTTTATTAAAGTCAAAAATTTATTTAATGCTCAAATTTTTGACACTTTCCACATAAAAGAAAGTAAGGAAAAGTTTAATTTTCACTGTTACAACTAATGAAAACGCCATCCTTCGCGTAAGTATGTGCTTAGAAATGGTAAGTGAATAAATCTAATATTACGAATTTTATTACGTTTAATTTACATCATTGTTTTAAATTGGCCTATATTAAACGTTATTTAAGAGTTTATTAGTGTAAAAAGTTTTTATTGTGGTTGCAATTTATAGAGGTAATGGCGTTTCAGTCATCTAATTATGTGTATTGCAACATTGGATTGTAATAACAAAAGCTAATCCATGAACGATGTGCAGGCAAGTTGGTATTTTGCAAGCCCCGTGAGGTATTATTATTCTCACGCATTGTAATCTCGTACCCTATATTTTTATTCGGCGAACTTTAAATTTGTTGAATTATATCCAACCTTTGTAGCATTATATCCATTTAAAAGTTACTTTGATGTGTATATTAACGAACCGTTTTATAATATATTTTTTTTTAGGAGAGGGGGCAAACTAGTATGCGGCTCACTTGATGGTAAGTGACTACCGCCGCCCATGAACGGCTGCAACATCAGGGAGGGAATCGCAGATGCGTTGCCAGCCTTTTAAAAAGGAGTACGCTCTTTTCTTGAAGGTCCCTAAGTTGTATCGGTTCGGAAAAATCGCTGATGGTAATCGATTCCACAAGGAAGTCGTGCGAGGAAGAAAACATCTTCTAAATCGCACAGTGGTGGACAGCCAATCATCCAGATGGTGTGGATGGTATCGGGAGTTCTGCCGCGATGTGCGTTCGTGAAATTTGGCAGCTGGGATTAATCCGAACAATTCCTCAGAGCACTCCCCATGGTAGATGCGAAAGAAAATGCAAAGGGATGCAACATCTCTTCGCAGTGGCAATGAATCGAGCCGATCGGAAAGGACTTGGTAATCGACGATTCGAGCCGCTCTGCGCTGGATGCGGTCAAAGTGGAAGGAGCTGGCACTGGGGAGCCCCTGCCCAGAGATGGGAACAGTATTCCATGTGAGGCCGAACCTGCGTCTTGTAAAGTTGCAGGCGGTGTGCCGGCATGAAATACTGTCCCGCTCTGCTGAGCACGGCAAGCTTTTTAGAGGCCAATTTGGCCTTCTCTTCCAAGTGACCACGAAACTGCACGTCACTCGATATGTCGACTCCGAGGATTTCGATACTGGCTGAGGCAAGAAGGGGAGTGCCTTGAAACTGAGGAGATACGACAAAGGGGTTCTTTTTAGCGGTAAACGCGCAAACTTGTGTCTTCTGAGGATTAAACTGGAGTAGATTTAGTCGCCCCCAATCCGAGATTTTGTTCAGCAAAGACTCGACTTCAGACACAAGTTTGTTCCGGTACTCGGCGACGTTTTCCCGAGAAATATTGGCACGGCCGGTGTATAGAGCATTACCAG